CCTTATTAACTTACCTGGAAGAGGCTGCGGGAACAGCTCTCCACTACTGCCAGCCTGCAGGGGGAAACCTGCATTTTCCCATGTTTTTCTCCTTTAAAGGAGCAATCTGTGGTTTTCTCCTTTAAAGGAGACAATCCACGTTCTTCTCCATGCAAGGAGAAAAGCTGTGTTTTTCTGTAGCGAATGGAAAATCCGGAACCCTGTTTATCGCAAACCCATCTGCTGATGTTGCAATCCCATCTGGGTTCATGACCCACAGTTTGGGAACTGCTGCCCTAAAGTATCCTTTAAACAATGGCAATGGAATCTAAATGCTATTAATAAAACAAACCATAAAATATACCAGGCAGAGCATGAAACAGTTGAAGATTGCTTAAAGGGAAATCTGAACAAAAGCCAGCCACAGATATTTAGATAAATGGATGTATTTAAGCCTGAAGGGACCAGTTAATTTTCAGATATTTGAGACTGTGAGGACAGACCAGTCCCATGAACTTGAGGAAGTACACTAGGTCAGCTATGGAAAGTACACAGAAAGGTTTCTGATGTCAGTTTGGAGCAGCAGGGAGGATTTCAGCAAATAACTAGTCTTGGACAAGCTTTATTCAGGATCTCCCCAATTCTGCCCTAATCTGTTGCTTCCTAGCTCCCATGGGCCAAGGGCAATAGTGAAGAAGCCAGTCACTGAAGGTATGATTAGGGCAAAACTAGCAAAGAGCTCAGAGTAATCCCTGAAAGAATTTGGGCTGCATAGACACATGGAAGAATAAAAGAAAAAGAAAGCGTTTGGGAAAGGTAGTGAGCCAAAATAAAGACAATTGTCAACCGTCTGAAAGGAAGGACTACATAAGGGAAATGCAACCTGAAAACCCTGTCTCTGTTCATGTGTGCTGAGGCTTGAGAGAAGAAGCAAGTATGAAGTTTGATTTAATTTTAGTCCAAGAGAAATGGAGCGATTCCACAATCGTAGAATGATGTCATATTGTCTATCTGTGGTATGGCTTGGCATACTACAACTAACCTCTTGTGCTTCTGAACGTTTATATACATCCATCCTAATGTTACTTGACATGCACAATACAAGGTTGGGTTGTACTCCTATATGCAATATTAGGGGTGAAATTCTGACCCGTTACTATCCACAAGAATATTGATATTAACATTAATGGGCCCAGGAGTCTACCAATGTACCCAAACATGAATTTAGGAACACAGCTAAAACTGGTCTGATTTTCATAAATGCCAATTATCCACAAACAGAAATCTCCACATGTTCAACACCTTTAAAAAACCAGGCCCCATTCAGGTTTGAAAATACTGCCTCTTGTCCTGCTCATTAAATAGCAAACTATAAAAATACTAGCTAATTGCCCATCAAGAATGAAAGGGGGGTGGGGTGGGCGGGGGTGGAAGCTTGTGAACCCTAACCCTAACTCTGCTCCCCCCCTCCCC